TATCGCTGAAGCAATGTGTGTGTCTTATACATTAAAGAAGGGCCATTTAGTTGGTTGATTAATTGTGCAAAGTGACTGTGTTACGAAAAGGGACAAAACCAAGAACAATATCTGCCATACGTCCTATTAGTCTAGTTGAGTTGGAGCAAGTACTGATTTATGTGCATTTGGTAGACAACATCACAATAGTCCACTAATCGGAAGAATAAGTTGAGAAGCAATTCTCTTCGGACAGCGAGCGTAAAACAATTGCGAGGCGGTGTAAAACACCGTCCGTAATTGACTTTTGTATTACATGCTTTATAGTAGTTAAATGAAAGTCAGAGTCTAGCCCATACACGCAAGATATTTAAAGCTATCAACTTTATGCAGAGAGTGCCATCCTACACATGTTATTACTTACATTAGATTTTGGATTTGAGCTTCTGCCTGCGTACCAAAAGACCATCGGCTATAAGATTTTTGTTTTGTTAAAGCAGTAGTTTATTGTTGGTGATAGCCAGTCCTGTAAGATATTATAAATCCGATTGAAGAAGAGATTGAATTGTGAAATCTGTTGGATGTATAATGACAAGTGTCATCAGTGAGCATAAAGGTCGAGTACACATTAATCGAGACAAGAAGATTAACATTTATGTAAATAGAGAACAGAAGTGGGCCCAGAGTTGATCCTTGGGGTACACCCTTTTGTTGGATCAACAGGTCAGACTGTTTTCCATTAACAACCACACATTGCTTTCTACTGTGAAGGTACGAGTTAAACCATAACACTGTATTATTAGAAAGGCCAATGCCGTGAAGTTTATCCAAGAGCAGATATCGATCAACGAAATCAAAGGCTTTTGTCAAGTCAATAAAAATGGCACCTGTGAGTTCACCATCATCTGCAGCAGAGTACAAGTCATTCGTAAATTTAAGTAGGGCAGTTGTTGTGGAGTGATTAGGCCTGAAACCAGATTGAACCGGAGATAAAATATTATAAGTATTGAGATAATGTGAAAATTGATTATAAATTATTTTCTCCAAAACTTTGGAAATAGAACAGATTATAGAGATTGGTCTATAATTATTTGTATCAAGTAAATCACCACCTTTATGTAGTGGAATGATGCGTGCACATTTCTAAATAGTCGGCAACTCACAGGTGGACAAAGACAGGTTGAACAAATCAGCAAGTGGGTACATGAGAATATGGGACGCCAATTTTATGAACCTGTTTTCTATACCATCGAGTCCTGCACTGCCATCCACTTTTAATTCTGTAAAAGCATTATGAACTTCGTGTGGTAGAATCTTCTTAAAAGAAAAAGAACTGTTGCAGTATGAGTTACTATTAGAAATACCAGTCGTCAAATAGGAGTCAGATAGTAGTGTGGAACATACATATATTGACAAATATTAAACCCCTCAAACTGTGTTGTTACTGCAGTCCCATCACTGTGCCTCCTCGTGCTTCACAAACACCTGCAGAGTCAGGGAAGGAGGGATTTTGTAAAGACTATGTGATGCAGTTGCCCCCAACACAACATATCCCCCCCAGCTTAGCATAAGTCTGGTAATAACAGCCTGTGTCTGAAACGAGGTTTTCAGATTTGAAAGATTAAAGCTGCTAGTTTGCAGAGCACGCGATGCTGCTCTGTCAATGACTGTTTAACCAGGATTCACAGGGGTTCAGCTAAGACTAACATGAAGGACTATACCACCTGTAACACATATTAAATCACCGCTTCCAGCTAACCTGTAACTGAGGAGGGAATTCATCTAAGTATATAACCACCAGTAAGACTTTTCTAAACCAAAAGAAACAAGGAATTTGAGTTAACCCTCTTAACAACTAAGCGAGCAAAAACAAAAATCTTTACTGTTAAACAACTGATGATTCAGTACCATGTATGAGGATAAGAAAATACATCTTTCATTTCATGACAAATCACCCCTTAAAATTACTACAGGGAGCATTTTCAATGACGCTGAATATAATAATATGCAGGTTAACTGATAATGAAACAATCATCAGTTGCATGATGATACAAACCATGAGACGCCATTCAGATATTTTACAACAGAATAAACTCAGTTGAGGTTTAGGAACAACTGCATAATACTGAGGTATTTCTAATATATTCTCCAACCTGTTTTTACCAATAAGGATAGACTTAATATTAAACAGCTTTCAGTATAATGCAATGCAAACAAAGAGTGCTGATCGTAAAGTTAAATCAACATCCCTCTACCAGAGTTTCAACAAGAACTGATCTTTATAGCCTTTATTTTTTTATGGCAGCACTTTTGTACGAGAAAGCTTTTTTTTTGTCTAGCAAATGAGAGTGAATATTATGACTTCAACTCATCAGGTAAACACAAAGATGCTCAGTTGTTGCTTAACTTTATGTGATCGTACCATATGGCCAACTTCTAGGATTGCTTCAAACGTAGTTCACAGAGCCTCTTCAGAAGTAAATTAAACTTCAGATCACAAAACAAACAGTGAATCTCCTAATACAAAGGCACACCCAGAGAAAAGGTAAACCATTAGAAACAGGAAGCCAGTCAGGCGAGATAATGACGAGAAGGAGGGAAGAGATGGGACACACAGAGTACACCATCTGAATGGCTCCGGATCAAAAACAGAGCTTTGAGTCTTCTTCTGTTTGTTCTTTTGTTAGCAGGCGATCAGTGTCTGGCCTGCAGCAGACCACTGCGTCTGTACCACCTCTGGATCTGCTCTCCAATTGTTGCTTCAGAAATCTGAGCCTCGTGCCAGGATCAGCTTTAGGCAAATCTCACTGTACCACCAACGTCTGCCATATACTTACAGATTAATCACAGTCTTTCGAGCAGAATAATACACGTACTGTTTGATTTAGTGAAAGCTCAAGCAACAGATCCTGAGCAGAGTGGCAATGACAAACAAAGGTGGCAAATAAAGCAGGTGTTCACGTCACCATAGTGACAACTGCAGGGAAACGAGAAGGAAATGCAAACATGTTTACATGGCAGTGGGGAAAAGTGTTTGCCCAAGGGCCCGGAGGCATACAACAGGCTTCATTAGAATATAATTTAATACCAATACTTACAGTGTATTTATACGGATCACATTACAGCCTCTTGGAAAACACAACAGGAGCCACTGAGAGAAGTTCCTAAATCCCCTAAAACAATATTTATAAATACAACATCTGTGGAGGAATTATATAGGTATTTTACCCCAATGTCTTAGGCATAACATACTTTTGGCAGACTCTTAAGTTGTATTTTAGGCTTAATTTTATTTATTAGACAGTTTATGGCTGAGAGATATGGGTGGTCACAGGGGTGGGAACTGAGGGCACTTTAATTGTCTTCCTCTTTTCTTTCTTCCTTTGTTATGGATTTTATTTGTTTACCGTTTTTCATCGCAAACTAGGACAGATTTTCAGGCAATAAAAAACACTCCAGTTGACCCAAGTTGGCAACAACTATTCAGCCTCTCTCTTGCTCCCACATACATAAATCAAGACCCCCAACATCTTCCTACTCGGGAATGACGTCAGAGAATTGAGTTTTCCATGCATGTTAGGCTCTGCTTCCACAGCAACCGGACACACACACACACACACACACACACACACACACACACACACACACACACACACACACACACACACCTCTCGCTTGGCTTGACCCGGGGAGAAACCCTTTTTTTTCCACGGGGTATTGTTCCCAACACTTGAATGGATTGCCCTCTAATTCATCTCAGCATAGTGTACAAAAGCCAAGGAACCCAGGGTCTGAGGTGCAGAACAAAACCAACAGAGGCAGAGTTGTAAAGCCATGCTGAACTAACAGGCTGAGGTTGGGACAGAAAGTTCTGTGAGTGGATCCACAACAACCCCCGCAGCACCAAAACAATGCCTACACTCTAACATACGAATATATGTCCATCAGATATGTTGGTTTCTGTTTTATCCTAGCAACCAAAATCCATCTAAAGCAAATTAGCAAAAACTGTCAGATCTGAAACTGCTTTGTTGAAGAAAATAACGATTTTGTGGGAAAAACATGTCCATACTTAGTATTGGTAAAAGTACTAATGTTTAAACATTATATAAACATATAACACATTTCATAAAGAGACTACTAACTGAAAGCAAAAACCAGAAATGGTTACCCCAACATGAAAACCCCAATACTTTAGCGACAACAACAGTATCTTTTAAAAGTGTGGCTGTTTTTACATATTGTGAAAAAAACATGCTGTTTCACGTTTTGTAATACAATAATAACTTCCAATAGCCTCCTTTTAAGGCTGCTATGCCTATTAATCTTTTAGATGACAATATGGTCACATGAATAAGATGTACATGTGTAGGTACAATATTCCTTATTCATTGTGTTATAATCTAAATGTTGAGCCATCTGGTTAAATTGTATGTGATCAGGTTCTTGAATCAAATAGTTAAAACACTGGACAACAAGCCAGTGTTTTGTTTGTGCTTACATTACCAACACACAGCAGAGCAACAGATTCAGGCCTCAAACTACAACACATCTTCATTATGTAATTGTGGACCTAACTGCATAGCAGGACACCTTCTGTTGTCACCTTGTCACAGGCAGATATAAACAGTAGCAGGAAGGTTACATCTCTCTGCTTTTCTTTGCTAAAGAATAAGCCTGCAGACTCCACTCTCCCCCACAATGACTTTCCACAGCACAGTTGTAGCAGGTCGTTACATATTTCCATCCACACACACAGCATGATGCGGCGGTACCGTCCTGCTGGACTTACCGTGGGGTGAGAGGGCTCGCCGGGACACGTATGGCGCTCCGACACCGTTGAAGTTAGTGGTCGATACTTTTCAGAGGAGAAAATCTGTGTTGTTTCAGGTTATTAGCCGGTCAGGTGCACTGGAGCTGGTGTCTTGGCCGAGCTGCAGCACACACAGTGCGGAGACACTCTCCGGCAGACGGCGGTGATGTGAGCGTCCTCGTACGTGATTGGACCAGGTGGAATAGGCGCGGTCCCGCGTCCCCTGCGCGGGCCACACGCAGCTTGTGACCACTGCTGCAACCACAAGGCTGCCATCAGAGAAATAAACTCAGGTGGGTTCATGTAACGAGGCTCATTTAATCAGGCTCAAACTGGGCTGGAAAGTACTCAAGCACTGCATTTAAGTATATATTTTAAGAACGTGTTAAGAAAGTAGTTAGGAACTTTTTCCATTTATACAACTTAACCATTTTTCTTCAATACAGTTTCAAGTGGAAGTACACTGACAGTAGTTCAAATGACCGGCTGCAACAGTAATAACTATGCTAACTACAACAGTAAAATGCTGTTCAAACGTCATCGTAGGCCTATCTGTAATTATATTTGAGATGTTTGTCCATTTATGTGTACACTAAGTTAGGCTACTTGTAATATTGTAAATCTGCACTGATCTTGAGATAGTATCACGAGTAGCCTACTTTACTTCCATTCCTCAGGAACGTTTTGTTCTTTCAGCACCATATTTATTTCACAAAGTCTGTGCATTTACAATATTACAAGTAGCCTAACTTAGTGTACACATAAATGGACAAACATCTCAAATATAATTACAGATAGGCCTACGATGAATAAATGTTATATTGACCAATTTCCAAACTCACATTGGTATTCTCGATGACTCCAGACTCACATTGGTTTCTCATACAGCATCTCTGTATAGTATGTGTATTCACTCTCTGTCCTAAACGGCTTGTTGGAGCTCCTGCCCCCCCTCCCTGTGAGCCCAGTGGCCGTCTGCGAGACAGCGAGACACCGCGGAACTCAGCCTGGGCACACACACACACCCGCAGCCTGGCTGGGAGTTTGTGTGTGTGCGTGTGCCCAGGCTGACTTCCGCGGTGTCTCGCTCAGCTGTCTCGCCAACCCCACACCAGTGTTCAGCTCCTCGCAGCAGAGAGCCTCGCAACGTCTCGCCGTGTGTGTGTGTGTGTGTGTGTGTGTGTGTGAGGAAGTCCCCGGATTGGTCCAAACGTAACGGCTCCGCGGACGTTACGTTGCGTCACTATACTCGAAATACGTCACTATACCCAAGAAGTAAACAATGTAATAAGATAAATCTCCAACGTTCTGGGTCAGCATAGACAGGTATTTTCTGTGTTAACAGTTTTACTCGCTACAGGGTGTACTTTGAGGGTTTGTGACGGCAGACCGTTCACATGCATAAAAAGCTACATAACACACAATGGGACGGGTATAACCAGAAAAGCATGACATGGGACCTTTAACCCCCAATGTTTCTACTTTGCAGGACAAAAGCAGCCTTGTTTTAGCTTGATGACATTTTTGCAATAGGATTAGAACATGTTCACTTAATTGAGATTTCAGTTGAGCGAGATGTATTTTTCTCCAGTATTTATAATCCCTCAGTGCTAGTAAACTCCAGTTTTTTTGCACAAAACACTGAGTTATACAATTATTCAAAACATATAAGTTATTTTTTTTCCATGCTACTGAATACAATTGATTTTGTAATGAAATATTGATAAATTAACATTTCTATATATTCTTAAAACTTTTTCCATGTTGTTTTGCACTGCGGTCGACTTGACACCCTGCAGTCTTCCATGCCTTTTTACTCAGAAACTTTAGAATGTGGATCTTAGTCTTGTTATCTATTCTTTTTTGCCTTATTTGATGGACAATGTACAACAGATAAAACGCAGCACCGAGTCTGTGATCATCCTCAAAGCTTTTTCAGAGGCTTAACCAGAACCTGTCAAATGTATACCCGTGGGTGTGGTGGGTCTGTGATTATGAAATCCTAAAGGGGAACCTAAAAGCACCTGGACACAGTCCAGTAAACAGTAAACAGTCGACTTGAATCCATAAGTCAACAGAGTGTACACCAGGGCTGTTTATCTGGAAAGAAACAAAAAGCTAGATAAATGCAGAGAAGGTTTACTTGTGATATAATTGTAGTTTTTCGTAGGGCATGTCATAAGCTTTTCCTTTCAGTGACAATGTCTGCATCCTTTTTTCTATAGCCTTCGGTTGCCAAATGTTCTACTTTATTTTTCTTTGTTGGCCCCTGGTGATGACATCTGATACAAGCTGCTACTACAAACACGTTAAGAGATTAAGAAAAGAAACTTTTATTTTCCCAAAGAGGTTACACAACATTCAGAATCCTTTTCTTAACTCATGTGTTAATGTTTTATTATTACAAAGGTAGAGTCCCACTAGCACATACTATCACATCATTATGCAAGTCTTCAGGAAAAACAAAAAATCCAAAACTACATACTCAAAGTAAATAGAGAAAATTACAAATATATATCCATCTATTTCCGGGAAACAATAGATTGTTGTACAAGATTCACACTCCCAAACTGCTATGGTAAGCCAAAGGAAAAGTACAAATCACCCAAACGAGGACAGCTGGTTATCAATACCAGCCTACAGTATGTCCTCTTCCAAAACTAAACTTTTATGTAGCCCAATGAACAAAACTTTAAGAAGCTCAAAGGAAGCTGGTCTTTCAAATTCAAAAAAAGGTTCCTCAAGTTAATCATATTTTGGTTTTCATATCATATATCATATCATACATTTCTTACAAGTACTTAGTCTCAAATGCATAAATGTGCATGTGCAATATGGATAAATATCTTTGAGAACATCTTAAAATGTCTTTAAACTTCAAATGTTCGTGGAGTATTTTTTAAACACAGACATGTGTGGAGTGTTTGAACATGTATAATTGTCCTTTGAGAGTGTGTGTTTGGTCCATGCTCTTCCTGCAAGAGTGGGTCCCGAGAATTGGTAGTGAGAGAGCCTGTTTTAAACAACAAGACCAGATATAAAAGCACAGAGAGGAAGAGAAGAATAAATCCAAGGCACATTTAGTCACATACAATAAGGCTGGTCCTTCAATTTCTCTGAATGCCATGAATGAAGACCAAAGAGGGAAATATCGATAAAAAGAGCAATATCAAAAGCAGCATCTTGTCATTATAATCATATTGCAGAGTGCAGAATTTATTGTGAGCGGCCATCGATATAATTTTAGAATATCAATTTAAAGTAATAGTTGACGTTTTGGGAAAATAGAGTAAGATGAGAAGATCGGTAACACTCTTGTGTGTGTACACTAATTATGAAGCTACAGCCTGAGCTGGTTAGCTTAGCCTAGCATAAACACTATAATCAAGGGTAACAGTTAGCCTGCCTCTGTCCAAAGGCACATCACCTCCCATAAAACCACAACTCGATTCTTTTTTGTTTAAGTGAGATTTAGAGGTGCTGATACGCACCATGTTATTTACCTTTGGACAGCCGGGCTAGCTGTTTCACCTTGTTTAGGGTCTTTATGCATAGCTAAGCTAACCTGCAACTGAACACAAAAAAAGTTGCCAAAAAAGTAAATAAGCGTATTTTCCAATACGTCAATCCATCACTTTAATACGAGTTTGCTGATAGAAGTGACCAATTGCATGCATGACTCAAATCTGAATGCCGCTTTACCCTGTTTTTAACAGTTGTAAAATCAAATCATGATTGAAATCATGTTCAGAATCACATGAAGCTTCCTGATTAGACTTGTATTAAGCATTCACCAAATCTCAGTCATCTGAGAAGAGTTCTGTAAATAGTGATCCGACGGCAGTTGTTTTGATCCCGTTGCTGCCCTTACAGAGACAACATGTCCGCCGTGCTGGGATACAACATTCATATGCTGGAATACAAAAGGCCAGTTACAGTTTTCAAATGTGTTAAATGCAGCAACTCCTGTTCAACAGATTTGCCAAACAGTTTAAAAGTGCATCGATGGATGATTCAACAACAAGAGTAAAACGGATTGTAAGAGTTTTTTTTTTTTTCATTTTGTGTAGAGTTAAAAGATTTACAGCTGTGAAAGTTTGAAAGGCAGTGACAGTCGAGTTGAAGGTTTCCCGTAGTTTCTGTAGGATTTGACATTTCCTGTCAAACTGATCCTCTTCGGCTTCAGAGGGAGTGATTAGTGCTCTTCCAGCCAAGATGGACTGTCCCCACCCGGAATTTTCAACTTGATGTGGAACTGCTTGAGTGTCTGTTCCAGCTGCTGTTGGTTTCCGGCGTAGTACGCAGCAATGGCATTGTGGAACAGGATGAGCTGGTTGTGCAATACCTTCACCTGTTGCAGGAGAAGAAATTAATAAGATGATGAACAGTGAGCATTTTAAATAAAAGCCATTATTCTGCTCCAGTTATGAGGACTAGAGCAAGCCAATAACCAACCTTGTTCTCTTCCAGGAACTTCAGCTTGACGGAGACGTCGTTTCGCATCCTCTCGTATTTCTCGCGGTAGATCTGGAACTGCTGCTGGGAGAACTCGATCCTGGGCATGGTGGTGGCATCACGTGGTCCCAGATTCAACTCCTCCAAATCTGTACGGTACGCGTCATACTCAACTCTAGAAGTGAGGTTATTTAAACAGCATCAGAAAAATGCATCATGTTAAATTGTTAAAGGCAATGAAAGCAGGAAATCTGATTTCATGACAGCCCTGATCTCCCCAAAACATTTCAGCTGGATTGAAAAATATCCTACCGATTGTTAGATAACCATTTGTGGTAAGGACATGGTGCGCAAACTCAAGCAACCTTACCTTGCAAATTCATACTGTTTGATATTAACCAAGGTGTCTTCAATTGTTTGGTCCACAAGAGTGTTTACACTGCCGATGAAAAAGTTGATAGCAGCCAGCAATGTCTCTCCATTTTTGGACAAAAGCTTTTGGGTCTCAGCGTTGTAACCAAACTCCTCCTGAGAAACAGAGTCAAAGAAATGTTAGTAAGCCCCGGAAATGTTGCTTAATTTGCACTGCAGTTAGAAGAAGAAGCTGCAGGTGCCAGCATTATACAGTTATTTTTGTATATAGATATACACACAGGTGTAACAGTGATTATTAAATATTAATATAAGTAACAATTCATTGTTTCAGGATCTGCATAAATTAAAACACAACATTTTTAAATCTATTATTATCCATTAACCAATATGCAGACTAGGTAAGACATATTAGGACAGCAGTAGCAACAATACATCTACAACAAAATATTCTCAAAAGAATATCTGTGTATAAGATACATAATACATAGATAATAGTTAACAAAATGTAGAATTATTATACTGTATATGCACTGACTCGAATATAAAATAGAAAGAACTCCTTTCATTGAATCATGGAGCACTATTGATAAATCCTGTAACACAATTAGAGGACTTTGAGGAAGTGGAAGATGATCTTAGCTTTATAATGCCTTTTAAGTCATTAACTTTCATGAACCAATATAATAAACATAAACTGTAATCTAAGGGATCAAAGTAGATTCAGGGAAATATGTTCCCACCAGATGACCCACAAGGCAGAACATATTACGTGTTACTTTATGGCTCTCTGCTAGGACACTATGTAAGGATGTTAACATGCCGCTTCCTGTTCATCCTTCCTGATCTGATACATTGATATGGACTCACATGCAGTTCTGGTGACTTGAGGCTGAGGTCGGCGAAGGCGTTACCCAGCTGCCTCTGCGTCTGCATTATCTGGGACAGCTGATTGGCCAGCGTCTGAGCCAGTTTGATGACATTCTGGTACTTCTTCTTGTTGTCTCGCAGGACTTCGATTTGGGCCTCCAGATCCAGGTCCACCGTCCTCGAGCCTCGTCCCAGCTTCTCAGACAGGATCTGTCTGGTACACTGCAGAAGACAGCAGAATTTTTCAAAATATTAGGAAGCACTGCTGGGAGACATACTGTAATAGGGACAATCAGAGGGACAGAGTGGAGCCAATTTCATAGTCTAAAACAAGTGAAGATATCAATAATATGCGTTGTCAGTTTGGGGTATAGTCCCGTTTTCAGCCAACATCTTAATAAGCTAACAGATAAAGATGGAGACTTGGGTTGAGAGGAGAAACAGGGTGAGGTAGGACAAAAAAAGAAAAATGAAGGAAAGAGAGGATTACTTTATAAGTGTTGATGCTCCACTTTCTCACTAGGTCCAGTTTCTCCATGGCTGGGCTCTTTAAGTCGTCTGATAGGACCACCGCTCCGCTCTTTGGCTGTTCATTCATCGTGCCTGGACAATTAAAAATCATTCACTTAGTAGGTGATTACGTTATTTGATTTGCAGGCTGTGGTGAAAATTAGGGAGGGTTAGGGTCATGTTAACATTGAAACTGACAAAAGACAAAATACTCAAATTAGAGGTCTTAGTGGTTGCTGATAACATGTAGGATTATTCTAAACAAAATTAAAATTAAAATACAATTAATCATGGACTTACCATTTAAAAAAAACAGTAACAGTGATGAAGTGCTTTTTTGTAGTTTGGGCACAGTGGGGAAATGTTAAAAGATATTGAGCCCTGAAACTGACAATATATCAGTCAGTTCATAAAATAATTGTTATTATTGTTGATTTAAAAATAAATAAAATAGGTTTAAAGTTTTATTTAGTAAACAAAAATAATTCATATACTTTTCCTCCAACCAGCTGAATAGAAGTGAAAATGGAGGCAAATTATAAAATGTTTAATTTTTTTAAAGCACTATTTTAATGTATGTATGTGTTATGTTATATTTTTCACTTTTCCGAAAATCTTTAAAAATGTTGTCAGTTTCAGATCTCCATAGATTAAGGCTATGGGAGACTACGAGTGGCAACTTTTGCAAGGACAAAGATTACAAGCATGAAAACCACCTGCGATTAAATGAGAGCAGTTCCCTCCAAGCCGAGCTGATGCTTAGGGCATCGAGAGGTTGCACCAGATCTAGAAATGTGGAGATCTTAGAAAAAAATAGTCTAAGGGTTTGTGTTAACACAGATGGTTAGCCACTGCCAAGCAACAAAACTACTTGAATCAGCCCAGACATATACAAAGACAAAGTTTCAGCAACAAGAGAGGAGGAGAAGAAAGGTTTGATTCTGAATGGAGCACAGCCTGTGGGAACAAGGAGCAGGTAAGAAACTGGTGAAAAACCAAGAGGTACAATAGGACTGCGGTTAATTACAGTGTGCAAAAGGTGACGATTCATTATGATCTGATTCATACTCCACTGCTGCCGGTACCTGTCTCAGCCTGACTATCGCTGGAAGAGCGCGCCAAGCGGCTAGCAACAGTAGAGCTGGGAGCTACAGGAGCCACGGGAGACGTGGGCAGGCTGGCTGACCCTGGGAGATATTCAAAGTTATCATTCATTAGTTTGTCACCATCCAGCCTAAACACGTGGAAAGGGGATTTTTTTATTGAAGTTGATTTCCTGTTTGTTGTTTGTTTCCTTTTTTTGGAGAATGAATATGTTAATGAACAAAAGCCTACCTCCAGCAGTGCAAATAACATGGAAAATATCCATGGCAACATTATAGTAAACGGGCTACAACAGCTCACCACTCAATGGGGAGATTTTTTATTTGCATTTGTAACAAGGACAGGATGATGAAAAGGAAAGGAGCGTTAAAACCTGGTGATCAGAGGGAACTCATTAAATTCAATTGGAGGTCCACCTTTACAAATTCAAATGTCTGCCTTTCAATTTCACAGAGATTAAAACCCAAAAGTGGAGCACGGTGAATAGATGGAGAGAAAGACTGTTTTTAAACACTGAATGCTGCAAAGCACTCAAGTAACGTAACAAGGCTGGAACATTTCTGATGAGCTGCTCCGTTGCAAATGTCTGATAGTGAGGAAACGGCACATAAACAAAACGAGGACAGCAACAATAAAAAACGGGGAGTGAAGTGTTTCACCTTTGTATGGTCCTGATTCGATGATGCCCTCTGTTGTTGAGGCGAAGTTGGCGGAAGTGACACAGGACTCGGAGAGGTTTAGGGCCCTGGGGACACTGGGGTAAGAGTCCTGTGAAACAAATCATACGGGGATTATATCAACAGGTTTAGTAGTTCTTAGCAGACAGGCGGCAAAGACAGGGAGCTTTCTGTCCTTTCTGTAGTTTACAGACATTTGGGCTACGCTAAGTCGCACATTCTGCTTACAAAGAAAGAAAAGTACAATAACACATTTGATCAACTTCACAATAAAAAAAGGATATCTTTGAAAGTCTTTTAAATCAGGTGGCAGATACTATATTTTATTAAAATGACCGTAATTGTTCTCGACAAACTTCCCTCATTATTCAGCAGCACTTTGAATCTTGAGAATTCCCCTTAAATATAAAAAAAACATCCAATTGATAGTTGAGAGGGGAATTGAACAGTAGAGAACCATCTGGCATCTCCTGTCTTGTTATGAATTAATGATTGTACAGAAGCAGACACCTCCTAAAATGTACGTCACATAAGTCTTAAAGTAAACTTGTGGCAAACCTAAAGTAGGGTTGACCAGCAAAGTGGTGCACAGCGGATTGACATGTGTTAGCATGTACATTCAAATGCCTGAGCTAATGTTTAGAAGATGCATATTTGATGCATACATTATTGTGGCTGTGTTGTCTTCCTGGCAACTGTCAGTGTGACAGAGCGAGTAAACAGCAGGCCATCTGGAAGCACTGCTGCTCAGTCAGATGGATGATAAGAGAGGGCACCCTAATGTCTCCATCTAAATGCTTTACTGCAGGGATATCACCTTGAATCCTTGACAGTGGATTATGCCCCTGCTAATAGAATTAAACCTCTTTGTGTAGAGCTGCATAGATTTGTAAAATGTTCTTGTCAATCAGTTAGCAAAAAAAAAATCGGTTATTTTTAGTTTATTTAAAACCAAATTGCAAATATTTTATTTTGCTTTCATGTTGAGGTATATGTTTGTAATGTTTTTTTCTTCTCCATATCTAGTTAACTGTTAACATTTTGGATTGTTGGTTGGAGTAAATAAATAAAACATATAAATATATAATAAATCTCCCTGTGTTATGAAAAGTCTGTTCTGAATATTCATAGATAAAACCATTTAATCTAGTTAATAATAAAGATAATTGTTGGTTGCAGGTCTCCTATTTTTTTTAGACTGCCAAAGAAACAACAAAATGAAAGGCATGATTGTTTGCACTGGTATATTTATCCAGGAGTCTTTAATATTTTATGATGAGACAATTCTCCTAGAAAAGTATAGCTTTGAGATGCAGTTCTCCAGACACGGCCTTACCCTCTGGAACACCATGTCCGGGCTCTGATCCCCGTTGCTGGTGACTGGGATCTCAGCCGCTGAGCTTCTATGGAACTCCTCAGTCATTGTGCTTTCCTGTAATCGGAGGGTGAAAAGAAGCAGGTTATTCTTTAAAGCTTCACCATATCACTTCAAAGAGAGAGTCCTCTGTTAAGAAACACAACTCAGCATCCACTAGTGGGACACAAGAGATGTGGGCTGCCATCTTGTGGACACAGCCTGGTGGAAATCATGAGCCTGGGCCAGGATAAAATACTGTTATTAGTTATTGTGTCATATTTTGGAAGCTGAGTGCATTGCATAATGTTTCTTTTAATACAGACTTCAGCTGCCCTTACAACAAAAATACTCTTGCCTGATCGATAGATACAACTGGGACTACTTTGTCATACAGTAGCATTGAAACTTTGACTCCCTTGCAAATATTAGAATAATAAGATAATAATTCATTCTGATTAGAAAATGTTTTGCAAAAATCTTGGTCAAAACTCTTTCCAGGAAAGGATGGGGAGTTTAGTCAGCTACAGAATAAGCAGTTATGTTGCAGCAGTAAAACATGAAGTTATGCAACATCGGACTTCAATTCAACGCTCCCCTATTTTTTAACATAGTTTGGGTCGACTTACTGGACGTAGCAGGAGTTTTGTAAACACAGGATCTGATTCATTACAAAGGTTTAGTATGCAAGTGCCCCACCCATGAAGCTATGCAAATAAGGGAATCAACCAGTTATCTTCAGGGGGGGTGGTGGTGGTGGTATATACAGTATCTGTTTTTAAATCCTCTGGAGCAGAGAGAGGAGCTGTGGATTACTGTTATTGATTAATGCATCAGTGTTTCTTAGGGTCACAAACATTACACTCACAACTTAAAATTGTGAAACTTAAAATTAAAAACACCTTGAATTTCAGGGGGGGCGCAGGGCTCCGTTGGCAGGGTGCAGCCAACGGAGAGGAAACACTGATCTTTATCATCTGCTGTTCTCCATAGCAACAACCCTTTCCTTGAAAATATCTGCTTTCTTGTTGCCATGTTCCTCGAAGCGCTTACTCGCAAATACATGGCTTTATGTTTCACAGTGACATTCAGACCACATTCAACCCTAAGCATCATGTTTTATAACTGCTCATTATGTGTGGTCCAATGTGGAAAATCCTGTGATGAAAAAACACAAATGGACCAACATTTCCCTTAAGCCAACAATTACAAGGAAATACCTGTTATAGTCTTTGTGAAATACATTTAGTCCCTTTTAATTGATCCTGTTGGTTGAACTGACCAAGGAACACATTTGTTTGAATAGCTGCACATTTCCATCTTGGCTTGTAGAAGGGCCACCCATTGGAGAAAACTGTTTGCAGCATCAGATTTGTTATAGTGCAACTTTTGGCCTAATCACAGTGGACTTAGGAACTAGAACGCTGCCCTAAACACCATAAAAGCTTTACATGTCAGCTATGTGAGGTCCAGCAGTTTAAGGTGGATTAGTGACATGCCTGGCAGAGGAGGTAACAAGGAAACAATGTAGTATAAATCTGAATTTCTCTCTTTGAACAAGATCCTTCAGCTAGAGGTAAACCTTGAGCGGTGTCTAAATAATGCAGATAGCTAGCAGGAAACAAGATATGGGTCTTGTCTGAACAAAGCAACAGGTTTCACTGTGTGGGCCAAGAGTCCGTTCAAAACATGGGTTTTTACCAAGAACACATTTAATAACAAAGCTTGCTTGTTTGGTTTTAATGTATTTTGTAAATTAAGTCTTTCTTAACAACCCAGTACAATTCCCTTCATTGTGGAACTAATATATTGTATTCTAGTTCAGACTGTGACTTAAATTAAGGGAAACGCATAGAGAAAAAAAAGATAGATATATAAACATGTGGTTTCCTCTTTTTTCCAAATAAAGAAATACATTACCATAAAGTAACCACAGAGTCCAATTGAGAGAATACACCAATTTCAGACAATCCATTATAAAGTAACCTGATAGGTCTTTTAAAACTAGTTTAACTGATTTTTGTATATTAAAAGAACGTGGGTTATCTATAGGCAAATACTACAAGATATAGCCCAGTGTTTTGCTTTGATCACACAATGTGTCATTTGATACGGTATGTATGTTTATAAAGAAAGAAATGGAGAAGAACGCCTTTTGTAAAGAAGTTGCTGTGTTTGGATGTTAGGTTAGTAATAATCTTATCAAAAAATATGTTTTAAAAAACCGATAGACTCAACCCTATTATGACATAATAGATATAGACCAAAGTCAAGGTTATATGTAAAAATGCTTGACAAAGACTTTACCTTAGGTGTTGTGTCATGTGACAGTGACATAAATACTTTAAGGCTATAAGACCCCGGCATAGGGACCGATCAGCACAGGTAAGGGTTGGCTTGTCTATCAGCCTACTGCAGATAACAGAGTGCTGCCCAATCACCTCTGAAATCAAGTTTACACAGGCAAGGCACGTCTCCGAAAAAAGGGTGTAAATGAAGTTGGATTGCACAACGGTTTTTTCAATGTATTATTTATCCATCTGCAGTTCTTGCACAACTGTATTGATTGTCCCAATACAATCTTGTTTTTGTTATAGGAATGATTAAGCCAAGGATCCAGGGATGATCAGGCATCTCAGAGCCAAAATGGTCCAACCCAACATCTGGAAACACTTTGCAGGAAGCTTGGGAATAGTATGTCAGCCTACAGAGAGTAGGAGAGTGGCTGAAAGATAAGTAGGGAAATGAAAAGGCAAGGTATGGCAAGTCATCTTGTGCCGTTACCGACAGTATCCTGGATACAAGCAAGCATGACGTGGGAACAACAATAAACTAATTGTCCAATTAGCTGCGTCAGCTGAAGGAATCATGGCTTGACTCTCAAACTACAGAAGAGCAGAAGCCTGTTGAAAATTGCTGGGTTAAGGCTGCAGAAAGGATTAAAGATGTATCTTAAAGTAAGATCTGGAAATTGTGAGTTACAACTGTGATGACTGAGGTTTAGTAAATGAAGAGGGTTTACAAAGAAATAACGATTGTGATTGGACTTGCAATAGTGGCACTGAGCCCGATAGAGAACGTAAATCAAGAGCCTGAGGAGTCACACATTCCAGCGACACAAGAAATGTGGGACTCCCGGAGAATGTGCAGTCAGGAGTCCAAACCCGTTTGACTTTCCCAGCCACGTGACAGCATGTAGAACTCTCGAGCTTTATTTACACCCCACTTACAAAACAGGGAAACATTGTGAAGAAATGTAATCATTAACACATCATGTACACGTAGCAATGGCAACGAGTGTCTAGAAGGCAAAAACAAAAAGTATATACTTACCCACTTACATTTTATACTCAAGTTTGCATTGTAATAAGCAGCAAAAACAAATCTCAGAAATTACTTGAGATAAGCCAGCATGTATACAAAACAAAGGAAACGTAAGACGCCTTGATTATCCCCAGACCCAGACACACAAAGCACCTGACAGAGCAACACACAAGTAAAAGAAAGAAAGCCACCAACTACTGCACCGTCAACAGAGCAACAGCTACACCAGCTATATTTCATAACCTCCAGCAAAGCAGAATGAAATCTGAAACACATCTACCAGGAGAAACAAACAAGATCTGATGTTGTTGAATAATAGGATAAAGCTTCACAGCTAAATCCAATCTTTTAGTAAATTAATTTGTATAGGAAAGAGATCATCACCATCACAGCAAGTAAAGATCGAAACAGCAAGAGCACAGAGAGCAAGTGCTAGAAGATTATCCAAAGTGAATGACAATATCACCTTTGTTTCAGTGTCAGAATCTCCACTTTCCTCTGGTGTTTCAGCAGTTTCAACTTGATGGTTTGCCTCAGGTCCCTCATTTTCTACACTCGCAGACATGTGTGCAGCATCACTTTCACTGATTATCACCACACCCTCTCTCTGAATGCCCTCATCCTCCTTCTGAATGGCCTTATCACCATTTTCAGCATTTTCTTCAGTGCTGTCAATATCAATCTCGTCCATCTCATCATCTTGGTAATCTCTTCCACTACTGTCGTCTACACTGCCCTGTCTCACATCCTCACTAACACTTTCTTCTGTTTTGTCTTCCCCCTCACAATCCAGCTGAGGGTCCTCAGGTGAGGTCTTCCCCGATTCAGCCTCAAGACTAACTTCAGACATACCTGAAAACAGACAGATAGAAGGATATAAAAAAAATCCTACCATACCAGCTGACAACTTATGGTTCAGTAAAATATAGGAATGCAATACAAACCGAACCCCAGTATGTGCCTGTAAATAAATGTAATATAATTTTGTTCAACTCGCAGTGCTAAGCATGCAATGAGATAAATCCCTGATAGTCTTGGATACATATATGTGAGCCAAGTGCTGACATGGTAAAATAAATGTGTGTATTTCCGGATTTCCAGTGTGATTACTTGTATAGGTTTGGTACATGTGTGACATAAAGCAACACAGGAAACGACGTGGGTGCTATTATTTCTAATGCAGACAGTGAAGTATTGCAGCTATAATCACAATGTTTACTCTACTTCTCTCTACACCACACACCGGAACACACTCTCATGGTTTACTTTAGCAGTTACCTGTTGCAGCACCGTCACGTGACTAACTAGGTGGACAAAAGTGACACAAATACTTATGCTAGTAACGACACATCATATAATGACAAATTGTTATATTTCATGGTTTAGCAAGCATTAAAGAAGCATTGTGTCCAGTTTGACTCTCATTGGTTAGCTTATAGCTGTCTACTAATTTAAGATGTGTCAGAACCGTTGACGTGGTGTTTGCTAACGTCAACCTAGCTAAACCGTAGATAACTTAACATTCTAAAAACTTAATTTAATCATGTTTTCCCTTCATATTTTGTCATATATGCAAGGAAAATGCGATGCTTAAAACTTTAGTTCACATTACCTGTCTGCGGTCGTGGCTAACTCTTTAGCTGAGAGCTGTTAGCCGTTGCTTTGGTTAACCGGACTAGCCGTTGTTGCTGTAGTTAACTGGAATAGCCGTTGTTGCAGTGGTGAGCTGAAGTCGTTGGTGCTTGCTGTTAATGCAAACGTTGCATAGATATCCTACCAAGTTATCATCGATGGTCCTCGACTATCTTTGAGCACACTAGACTTGCTGGGCGAACCCCGGAAAGACTAAACCACTGCGGCCCTCGGCTGTCATCAGAAGCAGACTACATCATTTGAAGCATGCGCTCTCCCCCTGCTGTTAGAACACGGTGCTTGCAGTTTGAGTCCAATGTCTAAAATGTATTAATTAATTAATCAGAATCGGATTTATTGTCAAGTGGGTTAACACATACGAGGAATTTGCGTTGGTGTTAAAGACACAGAAAGAAGAATAGGCCTATGTTGTTTGGAAAAAAGCTTTTTTAAATAATGACATTATTTACACAAAATATATGTAAGAAACTGAGTAGCCTACGGTAAAATAAAATAAAATATGACAAATAATATATTCAAATACGATAGTCAGAAGGAAGAGCTGTGCATATTTAAAAATATGTACTGTGGTGAAGAAATGTGCAACATGTTCAAAGCAGCGCCGACTATACTATACTATATGGCGCTGGTTCAAAGGGTTGTGCAGGTTTTAAGATATTGTTCGCATGAGTATTTAAGGTAAAATTAGGACACTAAAAATAATATTCTGGTCAATTGTTAATCTTTAATGGTTAAATATCCGCCACATCCACGACTTGTTAACTGTAACTTGATTCTTTGCTACGATGCGATTTTACACAACAAACTCAATTTCCCATAAGCCCCGGCAGTAGAGACGCAAAGCTGCGCTGCAACGCAAGCACCAAGGCAGTCCAGCTAGAGGCCATATTGGAATATATGAAGTCGGCTTGCACTTTGATGGAACTGAGTATCTATCGTTTTTGGAGTCTCTGAATTGCTATCCCGGATTAATACCCTAGTGATTGCGACTGGCATTCCACTCGAGACCCTGCCAAGTGTGGACGGCAAGTTGTCTCGCTTCTTCTGTGGACAAAAATGAGTCCAACCGATGCTAAACGAGGGGCTAAACGAAGGAAGAACAAGCGGGGCGGTGGCAGTAGTTGCAGTGCTGTCTGCAACACCAGCGGTGGCAAGGCCGGGGTTGCCTCGGCCCTTGGCTGTGCGGGAACAGCAACACCTGCCTCCGTCGTCAGCTTTCTAACACCTGGCAGCACAGGCAGCGGGAATATTGGCTCCATCACGGGCCTCAACGGAGAGGTAAGAGTGTCACGCAATGTAACCCAGTGGATGTCAAACCGGGCGACTAGCTAGCAGCGTTATCAACGACACACATCTGATTTGGGCCCGACACTGATGCGAAGAAGGCAGCTAGCTAACTAACGTTGACCAATGTAGCTTCAAATTAACTGGCTTAATTGCCGCTCAGACTTGTTGTTATGCTTTGTGAACGGCTGTGTGGTTAAACTGGCCATATTATAATGCAATAAACTGTCGTAAACATTAGGGCACTTGGGTCTTGGCCGAACGCTGCGACTGCCATCCTTAGCTCAAGTTGAGAGACCGTAGCTGAATCGACAACAACTAGAGACACCATGAAGCATTATTTTTGAGCTAATACAGTCCAGGTAGGTGGAGATTACATTGGCCAAACCAAGATTATTCCCGAGCACAGTTGGTTTCAACACGGCTGGGGCATAGGCTGCTATAACACATATAAACATTAATGCTAGCTAATGCTAACAGTGAAGTGTACCAACAACTCAAGCCCCGGCGGGCCTCGATGTGTTTCTGCAAGCTGACCTTACACTTTACTTGCTAATTAGAAGTTTAACTTGGTTATAATGTCCACATAATATCCCAAATCAACTAACTAAGTCCAGTTTACCAAAGTACCCTAGTTATACACCATTTGCACAAAGGTTATGTTAGCTAGTTTCTTCTAACTGGCCCATGTTTAATAATTAACTGTCAGTTCATACGTTTATTATGGTGGGTCACAAATCACACATGTAGCTATAACTTTAGTCATTTTGCATGGCAGTCAACCCTATCTTCTCTATATTTATGTATGTAATGTTGGACTATAAAGGTAAACAAAGTCTTTCACTTACTAAGTGTGTGTGTTTATGATACATGCAGCCTAACAAGTACCCATTCCTTGTATGTTGTGACCCCTCCATCCAAACAAATCTTGCACATCATATACTTCCACTATTCATCATAAGAAATGAATGTCCTAAGAAGTGCTTCATGATATTTAAAAACATGGACATGTCCCTTCTTAAATTAATACAAAGTGTATACATGTACGTGTTCTTAGTGCCTGACTGTATTAACGACCTTCTGCTTCAAATGGGCATAACCTTTTCTCAGAAAAAACATATCCTACTTCACCCGGTAGATATTTTGATGTGTGATGTTGTCAATAACCAAGCCAATAGAAGTGATCTCTAATTAAGTTTTTTTTATCCCTCAGGTCAAAGTCAACAACAGTGTTACACCACAGTTTACAGAAGGACCAGTGAATGCTGACTTCTCCGGGGTCCTTCAGGTACATTTATTTACATCAGGTTTCAAAAATGCATTTAAAGCCACTGAAGCCATATACCATGTTTCACACATAATTAACACCTTTATGTAATGAATGCAATTTGGGAACGCACTACATAATTGCTTATGTGGTCTTTCATTTGTCTTTACTCATATCATGTAAAACAATCAGTGAGACAACTGTCACAAATATCATTCATACATTCAATTCTGATGGGCTCCAAACACAGTTGTGCACTCTGCAACAACTGACAAGAAGATGCTCTAACATCTGCCTTCACACTACACATCCTTGTACTGTGCCTGCCCACCCTAAGTGATCAATTAGAACTGTAATTCTAGTCTCTGCAGCGCTCTTTTAAAAGCAGTGTCATAGTGCCGATGACTCAAATGCAGCTTTCCACATTTAGCCATATTTAAATTGTCTGTCATCGCATCATTTTCTACACGCGAACTATTGCCTAAACCAAACTTTTGATGCTTCTGTTACAAAGATCTTGTGCGGTGAAATAATTTCAATCCGTAGACTGTAAAATAATATTATCATCAGCATTACGAGCTTTACTCGAAAATGGTAAGTTATTATTTGTGCTGTAATTGTTTTTTTGTTTATTGTTTTTTTCCAGCACACACAGTAAATAAATAATTTATTCACCCTAGGCTGGTTCAAATTATGACATTTGGCTGTTACATTTGCTACCTCATGTTTTTGTCCACACAACTGGTTGTTTTTGTTTTGTTGTAAACTCTGTCTATCATATGCTGACAATGTTATCTTAATAGCAAAAAACATATACTTATAAAACATTTAGAAAATGGATTTGATTGGTATACAATCACATTGTATTGATTCAAACTATGTGTCTATTTCAGTTGTTACACCCCTAATCATTGCAGTTTACCAAAAATAAACAGGCAAACTAAAACATATTGCTTTTGTACTTGCCTTTTGAATGAAATCAGAAAATGTCACTGCTGAAGGAGAGAATGAATTTGAGTTACTCACAGCACTGATCAAAACCTCATGGAAACTTAAGCATCTCCTATAACATGTTGCTTAAACAGATGTAAAGCCACCTCCTATTTAAAATCCCTTAAGACTTTTTGCCTTCTGTAAACCGCAGCAATGTGAAGATCATTAATTGAAACTCCTGGCTTCTAATGATGTGTTTGTGCCACTTAGTGGTTCACTCAGTGACAAGGCAGCACATTAAGAAAAGGTTCCAGTGTTTTAATGGAGTGCAGGGGGGCAATTTAAACAGCTGGTGTTCCCAAAGTGCAGTGTGCAATAGCTTGCAGAGGAAGAGAGGTGGATCTGCCTTCCTTTAGCAGAATGTCCATCTGGAGCCTATTTTTTCAACTTGCACATCATTTTCGGGGGAAGGCTTTAATTTGACCATATTGATCAATATGGTTTGATGTTTATTACGTTTCCTATACAAAATAACTGCATCATTCCATTGTATTTCAGTATATGAATTAAACACTGAATTATTCAGATTCTGTGTCAAAGAAGTCCATTATGTTCTTTAAAGAAATGATTAAAACATTTTTGTATATTTATGTTTTTTCAGGGCTGGGTGAATTGGCCAAAATCTATACCAACATAGGTCATTTCATATCATGATAATATATGTCGCAATATAGCATGTTTTCTTGTATTTCAATACATAAATAGTCCATATGAAATAACCACATGGTAAACTCTTTGGTGAATTAAATTCTTGAGGAATGATTATTTCCTAATTTTACTAAGAACTTTAAATAATTTATAGCGAATAAATAAATATTACCAGCTCTGCACTGAATATATACAAATAAACACAAACTCAAATTGATCAGACAAAACCAAAGTTTAATTGAACCGAGTGTGATCAGATTTTCAGAGAAATACGTTTTGATAACAGATTTCATCACAGTACGATTTAATTGAGTGACGTTAAATAACCAAATAAATTATTGTCCACCCTTAATTGTTTTTGCAAATGCTTAAGTGGCTTACTGTATATCTTTCTCTCCTCTTCCTCCTACCAACATGCTCACCTCAGACCCCATTCACGTTCGGCTTGAACCAACGGGCTCCCTACACGGCCGGCGATCGCTGCCTCTTGTGCCGATGTGAGCGGAAAGACAGCGCGGTGCCTTCAGAGGCGGGGATCCTCGGCCAGAACGGAGCGGCTCAGCCCAACAAAAAACCCAGTGCCCTCGAGCTGCCTCTGTGGGTGTGCTCCGACTGCAGGCGCACAGTGGAGAAGGAGGACCGGCACACTGCTCTGGAGCAGTCGCTGGGGGTAAGGATACCGTTTTCTTTAAAGACAAGTAAAGGTCTTTAAGTTGTGGAAAAGTTGTGAAAGAAAGGATGGTCCTCTGTGCAGAGACAGATATTTGGAAACTGAACCAGACGCCATGTATCTGCAGTTTAACTCACACAGCTGCAGTCAGTCTTTCACTGGAGGGTGTGGCTCTTCTGTTCACATCCATTTCTTTGCCAGAAAAGAGGAGCAACCAGAAGTAACAGCTGTTTCTGTCAAAATAAATGTTATGAAGGACATACTATCAATTCATATATTGGCTTGGCTTTAAATCATAGCAAGATAACAGTTTCTAGGTCAACACTGAGAAATGCTCCTTTATGTTAGAGCGCACCAATGTAGAGGTAAAAACGTCTTGT